CTTTAGACAACCTGATTGGGCAATGATCTGAAATAGGTCTCGACAATGCTGTAACACCTAAAATCCCCCATTCAGCTTCCCAATCCACTGTAAAGAGGAACCTATCCAATCGACAACAGGTAGGGTTTTCTTGGAAGTTTGACCAGGTAAAATTTGCTTGCTGAAGAGGGAGGTCCCGCAATGCAAAATTCTCCACAAAGAGAATAAACTTCCTCCTGGGGTTATTGGAATTGTTCAAGAATCTTGTTACGTTGAAATCCCCACCCAAACACCAAGGGCCATCCCACAAATCCCTAACGGTTGCTAGTTCTTCCCAGAAACCGTTAGGGGTTTGTGGGACCATAGACATTAGTTAGCACCCAAGCCCACCCATCTTCCTTTCTCTTCAATTTTATTGACACCGAGAAGTTCCCAATTAATTCTTCTTCACACTCCCAATCTTCATTTCTCCATAAAGTAATAATTCCCCCTGAAGCTCCCTATGATTGTGCAAAGGCCCAACTCAAATTTCTTGTTGACCAGATGCCCCTCACCCATTTCTTGTCCACCTCAAACAATTTTGATTCTTGTATTAAGACCACATTTGGCTTTTCTCTTCTCAAGAAGTCTTTGATCACTCGCTTTTTCTTTGAACTCCCCAAACCTCCTATGTTCCAGCTTATTAACTTCATGGACAAAAATTTCAGGTAGCCCCAACCAAACCACCCTTTTTACTCCTTTTTTCTATCCTTCCTACCCCCACTCGCTTTATCATAAACCACCCCACTCTTCAACCTCTCCACCTCACTCAACTTTTTCTTCCTCTTCTTAGAAAGCTCACGACTCTCCTACCTTCTTACTAGACTCTTCCACCTTCTTATTTCCTTCTAGTTTCTTACCTGACCCCTTCTTCTTTTTCCGTTGTCCTTTTGATTTTCCATTGTATCCACTTTTCTCCACTGTACTGGGAAATTGAATAATCTCCTCAACCCTACCCTCTTTCACATTCAGATCCTCTTCCATTCTGATTCTAAATAGTTCCAAGATCAACTCCCAAATTTTGTCCCCTAGTTCTCTCTCTTCTGCTTTTGAATTTATCTCCTCCACTACCTCTATCACTTATCAATTCCTCAAGTAATTCTGCGACATTTTTGCATTATAAGAATCAATAAGAATTTGTTTGTAAGAAATACAACTTTCTTACATAGAATAGGTAGAATTTCATCTATGTTGAACATTTAATACAAAATGTTTATATTTTAAACCATAATTTTGACATAAATATTTAAATTTTTGTTTTCTTGCTTTAGAACTTTTTATATATATAAATATCTAATACAATTTCTAATTTTAGAAATATGATGAGAAGTAATATTTAAAGCATCCTAAATACATAAATTTAAGATGTGACATGCACATCTAATATGAAATAATTAACCATTTAAACATGGTTTTAATTGAGATTTTAAAATGTTTATTGCCAAATCATTATTACTAGCATTATCAAAACTAATAGAAAAAGTTTATTTTCAATTCCATAAGTATGTAAAGTATTTTAAATACTTGCAACAATAGTTGGGCAAGTATGTGGCCATTCAAGCCTAGTGAAACTTAAAGGGTCATTTACTAAAACACCCCCTATAGTTTCATGAGTTTACTAAAACCTACCATATAGTTTATGTTTTACTAAAACATCCCCTATAGTTTGCAATCGATTTACTTAATCAACCTTCCATTAGATGAAAGTGGAAAATGGCGGTTTTAACACTAACATCCATTCAAATAAATTTAATCAAAAGAAACTAAAAACAAAATTGCCATTTTACTTCTAGCAAAACATGGACAACCACTAATTTTCTCTAATTGGCCAACTTTGTTTTCTATACAAAAAAGTGTTAGGGTACTTTTGGAATAAACAGCCATGGATCCATACCCTTGAACATTTTCCACTTAGTTTAGTGGTACTTTTGGAATAAACAACCATGAGTCCTTGCCCTTAAAACATTTTCAACTTAGTTTAGGTGATCATGTTACTATTTTTATATGGAAAAACAAATAGTTCTTAATGAAAGATCAATTAGTAAATAGATTGCTAACTATAAGAGGTGTTTTAATAAAATGCAAACTATAAGGTATGTTTACGTAAATCTATGAAATTATGAGGGGTTTTCTAGTAAATGACCCAAACTTAAAATTCTTTTTTGTAAAAACCAATTTTCATCAATAAAATGACCAGTAACACAAATATAACTTATATTAAATTTAGAGGTCCAAATATTTGAAGTAATTGCAACTCTAGAATTAAGATTTAATAAAATAAAAATTAAATTTTGTTTATATGAATAAAAAATTTTTAAAGCATATGTTCTAATAGTATTTCTAGGAACTTATTTAAATTATGGATTTATAGAATGACGTAAAAATCTTACAAGTTTAGTATCTTTAGCTAATAAAATGGTTGTTCAGCATATACAATATATTTTGCTAACTCTTGCCTCATATTTGGCATACGGTTCTTTTTCCATTCCCCTCAACCTCCTCTATTCTAAATATTTTCTGGACTGGGCTAGTCAATTTAGTGCCCTTCTTTTTCTTCCCCTAGTAGCAGTACTAGGGGTGGGAGCTCCGACAATATCAGCGGCATCCATATCGATGTTAACACTATCATGTTGCGACTGAATATCGTCGACATTGAACATGTTGGGGAATTGGTTTCAGGAGGAGGAGCCGGCCAATTTTTTTTAATTCTAAAAAAATAAAAATTAAGATAATTGCACTTACCCGGATTGCCGCTTTGGGATCTCAACTTGATTTTAATGGTTGAAGCCTCCAAGCCTCCCAAATTGCTAATTTGAGATACTTGAGCAAGCCTTCTTCTAATTGAAACTTGAATAAAGTTGAGAGTTGAGAATTGGAGAGTATAGAGTGAGTTTGAGAATTGGTGTGATGAGAATGGTGGAGGATAGGGCTATTTATAGGAATTGAAAATAATTTAATTACCCAAAATACCTTAAAAATTATTTTTTTAGTTGTTGCGAGGGGTATTTTGGTCATTATAAAGTCATTTATCACTTTACCCAAATGCCCCCCAAACTAATTTTTATATGGTTGTTAGGTGGCATTGTTGTCATTCCCCCCAAAAGTCAAAACTAGCCATTAGGGGGGTCCCTAACAGCTAGTTTCTCGGGCGGGTTGCATTCAGCCTGCTATGGGCCCACGGGCCGTGCTAGGCCATGGGTGGCACGACCTGGTTTACACCTCTGCCTTCATCAATGGGGCTGCCAAGCTAACTCTATCCTGATTGCTGTCCTCTTTGCAAACCTGCAAAGTTGTAACTAGAAAGTTCTACTTTAATGAGGAGAGCGGTAGATGCTAGCCCCATGATTGGTGCTTGTCACATTTTGTTATCACCATTCTTCATTCACCACTTTAGCTCTAGGATGGGCATCAACATTCATTCTAATAAATGAACAACATTAACAAATAATGGTTTATTATTATCGGAATATTTAACCTCAAGCTGACCATGGGTGTTGGAAGTATTTATTATTGTTGGATGTCTAATTTTTTTCACCAACTCCAAGAACCCCCTATTTGCTAATCTTGTTCATTCATTTTAATAAAATATCTTCTTAATAGGCAAATCATTATTTTTTATGTGAGAATTAATAATTTAAGACCCTAACATGGACTTGTTTGGGCTTGCCTCGAGGGGCGTGGTACAAAGGCAGCTCATAGAATAAGGAATGCAATATGCTCTACATCACATTAGCTACTTGAAGTAATGAAATTGAGAAAAAAAGAGATTGTGGGTTTTACATGCTTGAAAATTCTTTATATGTTTGGCTTTATTTTTAATTTTTCATTTGAATACACTTTACATGTTATGTTTATGTATTTTAGTTTTAGATAACAGGTTTTTGAAATTATTTATTTTAAAATTTAAGTTGTATTTTTTATTAATATTATGTTAGTGTTTTTTATTTTTCGGCTTTTTTTTTTAATTTTTTTATCATTTTTTAAAATTATTGTGCCTTGCTTCAAAAAGGCATGTGCCTCGCCTTGCACCTTGCATTTCGGGCACAAATTGCCCCTTGCACTTTTAAAACGCTGGTAGGTAGAAAGTTATTATGTTCCTTGATGCACAAGACAAGGAATGGCTTTTTTGTAATTATGGTGAACAATATTTCAGGCCACACAAGTCACTCTATGGAGTGGCTTTTTGTAGTTATGGTGAACAATATTTCGGGCCACACAAGTCACTCTATAAATAGATGTATTCTCTTCATTTTGAAGCTAATGAAGATTTCTTTAGAGTTCTCTTGCAAGTTTGCTGTATGGAGTGATTCCTTGGGATTTATCTCTCTTTTCTCTTTCTCTACCCTTTCTCCTTTGTGCTTCTCTCTCTCTTCCTCTCTCTTTCTGTCTTGTGATAGTTTGTTGCAGCCCTACTGCATCAGCTAGTCACTCAAAACCTACCCTAAGCCCTTACTAAAAGCACTAATTTGTTCTAAACCCTGAGGATATCTACCGTATTAGGGTACATCAATTTGATTCACCTGATTTGCTCCTCAAACTAGAGCCAGAATTTGACTTCTTCTGCAGCTCAGCACAAGTCCTGATCATTCCCATAAATGTCAAAATGATTTACTGCCCTTACTGGGGCATAGCTTACCATGAGTCCCAACTTCCAAAACTTTTTTTTCTCTCTGGTCAACCCAACCCAATTGGCGACCAGCTTTTTTTGGTTGAATAATTTGTGATCAGTTCATGAGCAATTTCCACTCTCAGGCCATCCTCTAGGCCCTTTTGCATATTTTGTTGCAGTAGCTTGTCCCTATAGGCCTATAGGTCTATTGGTTAAAAAGATTTTCAAAGCAAATTTCCCAATAGCCTGCTTTTCAGGTACAGAGAATTCTAACTTGTTGCTACTCCTGACCATGTTTTTTCTTTCAGATTTGATTACTATGTTGCTAGTTTTGTTCTTCTACAAGTTCATGAACTTCTTAATGGGTGTGCAGGCATCATGTCCAAGGGTATCCGTCGATTCGGATTTTTCGTAAGGGAAGTGATGTTAGGTAAGTTGTTATTGTCCTTGTGATAATATATACATGTATTGAGAAATCATATTTGCTCTGTATACCATTTCTCCGTGTATCAGACTTTTCCTAGATTCTTAATTATTTTTTTCTTTTAGCGTACTGAGCCAATCAATATTTCCTAGGGGTCATGTACTTTTATTTTAAGCATCAATTTCAATATATTGTCTGTTATTAATCACCCAAAAAAAGTAAAGCAGATTTGGTTTTTTGTTCCTTTTTTTTTATTCTTCTTTAATGTTTGAATAGTTCCAATTTTAGTTTCTTTTAGAACAATAGATGACTGTAGTTGAAAGAAATATCTCTTTCCATGCACAGATTTTTTTTTAACAGAAACTCTTCATTAAACAATGTCACCAAGGTGAATAGCAGGCCAAATACAAGCTTGCTTCAAAGGAGCTCAATAATACAATATATATACATATGTATTGCCACCTGGCCCTTGACAACCCCAAACCCCTTCCCTTGCCAGAGAATCAACCATGACATTAGCACTTCTAGGAACCCGACTGAATGGGCTTTTCAAGTTGGTGCCTAGGACCTGAGCCTGTCTCACCATCAGCTTAAACTTCCAAGGGATCTCTTCTTGAGATTTCACCCAGCTGGTTATGGTTTAGCAGTCACCCTCTACCTCCACTACATTGAATCAGAGCTTGTAACTCAGTCCTCAAAGAATTACCATGGCCAATAGGACCAGAAAAAAACTGAGAACTATGTTGCCCGGATGATCCCTAACCCCTGCCCCCTCTGGCTCTATTGGATTTCCAAGGCATCATTCTTCAACATTGAATATTAATTTACCCAGAGATGGGGCTTTCCATAATTCTTTCTTTGCTGTCTCCTGGCCTGAAACTTAGCTACCACTTGCCACCTCCATAGCATATCATTAAGGGTAATTACTATACCACTCATTAAGTTAAAGCAATGAGAATTTGTGATTTTTATAAGATCAATCAACCCCACAGATATTCTCTATATATGACATTTGAGTAACTAGTCACTAATTTGTACATATGATGATTTACTTCTTATGGATTGTATGGAACTTAATGGGATTGAAAGGATTCTTTTGTGAGGATATGGAGGGTGGTATCTTTGGTTTTAATACTTGTGTATTTTGACAGATTTCTTTTTAGTGAGAGTGGGGAAAGTCATTGAAGGGATTTGGTAGCTAGAGGTCTACCCAGAGTCACTTATGATCATTGTCCCATTGAATTAGGGCAAGAACCTTTTAGGCATGGCCCTCGACCCTTCAGATTTGAAAACATGTGGTTGACACAGGCATGGTCCTCGACCCTTCAGATTTGAAAACATGTGGCTGACACACCCGGACTTAGTGAAGAAGATTGAGGAATGGTGCAGGGAAGATATAAGTGGGGTGAGGTGGAAAGGGGTGAGATTCCACAAAAAATTGAGAAGCTTGAGACCAAAACTAAAGGAGTGGAATAAAGACCAATTTGGGAGATTAGAGGAAGCGAGATCAACTTTGCTAACCCATATAGAGGAGTTGGATGTGAAGGAGTCCCAAAGAACCATGAATATGCAGGAGAGAGAATTGAGATGTGTTAGAATGCTCGAGTCAGGGGTATTTTGGTCATTCTGGTGTATCTTATTGAAAGTGAAATGTCTATTGTACCTGAGTTTAAGTTGTGTCCCATCTTCTATGAGGGACAAAATTGTCTTTCTTGTAACTCAAGTTT